CACTTGAGGCCAGGAGTTCGAGACCAGCCTGGCCAACATGGTGAAACCCCATCTCTACTTAAAAAAAAAAAAAATAGCTGAGCGTGGTTGTACATGCTTGTAATCCTAGCTACTTGCGAGGCCAAGGCGGGAGGATTGCTTGAACCCAAGAGGCAGAGTTTGCAGTGAGCTGAGATTGTGCCACTGCACTCCAGCTTGGGTGACAGAGTGAGACTCTATCTGAGGAAAAAAAAAAAAAAAGAATTCCGCACATGATGCTGTTGTGATGGTGTTAAGGGAATGGGCCTGGCTCTGGCCCCTGACGCAGGAACATGGAGCTGATCCAGGATGCTTCCCGCCTGCCACTGGAGTACGTGAAGGGGGTCCCGCTCATCAAGTGCTTTGCAGAGGCACTGGGACCCCTGCAGAGCTTCCAAGCCCAGCTCGATGACCTGCTCATCAGCACCTACCCCAAGTCCGGTAGGTGAGGAGGGCCACCCACCCTCTCCCAGGTGGCAGTCCCCACCTTGGCCAGCGAGGTTGTGCCCTCGGCCTGCTCACTTCCCATCTCCCTCCCTCTCCAGGCACCACCTGGGTGAGCCAAATACTGGACATGATTTACCAGGGTGGCGACCTGGAGAAGTGTAACCGGGCTCCCATCTACATACGGGTGCCCTTCCTTGAGGCCAATGATCCAGGGGATCCCTCAGGTGCATGGCTGGGTCCTGGGTGCAAGTGGAGGGGAGGAAGACACGGCTGGGGCTTCAGCTCACCAGACCTTCCCTGACCCACTGCTCAGGGATGGAGATGCTGAAAGACACACCGGCCCCACGGCTCATCAAGTCACACCTGCCCTTGGCCCTGCTCCCCCAGACTCTGTTGGATCAGAAGGTTAAGGTGAGACCTGGCACAATGGTTCACACCTGTCATCCCAGTTTGAGGCTGAGGTGGGAGGATCCCTTGAAGGCAAGAGATGGAGACCAGCCTGGGCAACATTGCTGTAGAGATGGCATCCCATCTCTACAAAAAAAATTAAAAACCTGGTGTGGTGGCACAGACTGTTCCCACTTAGGAGGCTCAGCGGGGAGGATTGTTTATGCGAATTGGAGGCTGCAATGAGCCCTGATCCTGCTGCTGCCCTCCAGCCTGGGCAACACAGCAAAACCATCTCTACAAAAAAAAAAAAAGTTCCTGCTGAGTGGCAAGGAAAGCCAGGAAGGGGAGCTCAGGCGCCCCCCAGCCATGTTCCTGTTCTTCTGGAAGGGCCTCCTCACTTCTACGAGACTCATCATCACATCTTTTTTTTTTTGAGACAGAGTCTTGCTCTATCACCTTGGCTGCAGTGCAGTGGCGTGATCTCGGCTCACTGCAACCTCAGCCTCCTGAGTAGCTGGGATTACAG